TTACTCTACAGAAAAAGAATGAGACTGGTTCTTCTTGGCCTGAGAGGGAAGAATTACCAGGAAAGAGAAAAAAAAGTATCAGGAAAGCAGATTTCACCTTGACGAAGGAAAGGACAATCTTCTTGAAAATTAAGAGATATAGAGAAATAAAGTGGAATGCTTTAGGAGTTAATGGGTTGTCCTTTCTTTGAGGTCTTTAAATGAAGGCTGGATAATCACTTATGGTGGATACTGTAGAAAACATTATTCATCAGCTGTGTATTATACTAGATGGTTTTTGAGTTTCCTTCTAACTCTTATTCTATATTTACATGAGTCTTATACTGTAGGGCAAAGTTATATGGAACATACAAAGTACAGAATGTCCTAAAAGTCTTAGTTTTTTGGGACCTCTGCATAAAAACACAGTTTACTATCTCAAGGAGGTTATAATCTAGTTGAATTTCTAGATATGGGAGCCAAGTAACAAATGAGAACCTTGACTAAGAATACACAGAATACATATAGATATATATGTATGCATATAACATATATACATGCATATGTATATATAATTAACTACTCTATCACAATCCAATTGTAATATTTTATTGTGATGCAGAGGTGATCCTAGATTCTTCAAGGCTATGTGAATACAAGTTTTTCAAGGTGGAAAGCCTTTGAATACAAGTTTGGTGATAGGATATATGTCTGTCAACTTAAGTTCAGAGAGGTTCAAAATCAGAAAACTAGCCATTAGGTGATGAATGTTTTTTGATCATAGTGACTATCTTCTTAAGCAAAAAATGGTTGCATACAAAACAAATATAATCACGAGTGATTGAGGTATTGGAGAATGAAAGTTAAATAACAATAAGCATCAAATTATTTAAAAAGCAATCATGTAACAGATGATAAATGATGAAATTAACGATTTAGATGAGAGTTATGCCTTCAGATGAGTGGGAGATGTTTAGTGTAGGCTGGAAAGTTTTCACAGAGGAGGGACTTAAGCCTGGATATTGTTCTGTAGATAGAGCAAGGTCAATCAGAAAAAAAGTTACTATAATTATTTCTCTAAAGAGTAAGTATACTATAATCTCCCAAATCTTTTTTCTATATACGTTCTAAGCATTGACGTCTTTATGTTAATTCCATACATGAGCTTTAGAAAGTACTGAACTTGACCATAACTTTTGGCCAATGACGGCATAGTAACATCCTTCATTCTAATCCCACTACCATGAGTTAAACAAAAGCTGATTGGCTAAACTAAAGGTTATTGATTCAAAAGGTTGGAAATGAATCTATCACCATGAGTATATACAAACAACTTCAGTACACTTGAGTAAACAGAAGGAATCTTAGTCTGCAAATCAGGACACTTGGGTTCTCAACTTAACCCTACCATTTACTTTTTATGGGGCCATAAGCAAATATGGTACAGGAGAAAGAACATTTACTCTTGAGTCAGAGGACTTGGATTCATGTCCTACTTCTTATGTTTACTCCCTTTGTGAGTTTGCACAAGTCATGTCACCTCTCTGGGCCTCAATTTTTTCATCTATAAAATGAAGGAGTTGGCCTAGATGGCCTCTGAGATCTATTCTAGTTTATTTATCTGTTTAGGTCTCAGTTTCATAAGCTATAAAATCAGATGGTTGCATAAGATGATCTCTTGTGTCTCTACATTTTAAGTTTCCTTTTATTGGAAACTATCAACTAGTTCCTTTTATAGAGAATCCCAAATTACCAGTATCATTAAATACCATTTTGAATCCATTAGATTCAAGAATGGTATGAAATATTTGATTTGAAACTATAAATGGAAACCATTTCCTAGAGATACTGGAGAGCTAGATGATTCTTTGCAGTGACTGGAACATAGTAGGTACTTTGGAAATGCTTGTTGACTTGGTAGGCTAGACTTCATGAGGTCTAATTTTCCCTTTCATCTCTAAGAGCCTATGTTCTAAGTTATAACCAGAGATGTGTTGAAGCCAGCTTGAAAGAGCTCACAAAAGCCAGTTGTTGAATTTTCAGTGTGAACATTTACACTTTGGAAAATTGGCAAACACTACAATTCAGGACTTGATTTACTGCTTTATGGTTGTTTAGACCCAAGAAGGTGATGGAGATTATGTATTATAGAATACAGATGAAACTTAAAAGTGTATGGAGTGCATTTTTTTTTCTGGAGAGCTAGTTGTTAATCATTTACCAGCACACCACTGGGTATAACTCACTTGGGGGTACAAATATACTATTGTGAATAAGTCCTAGAAAGGATAGCACCAACAGAGGCTCCTGAAATTTCTGGCCACTACTAGTCATAATACTTCAAGTTTCAGTTTGGGTCTATGTGAAGAAGAGCAATGCTATATGTACTTAGATTTTTACCACGGCTACCATGATCCTAGTATGTTTCTTAATATTTACTTTTTTGCCTTGTAGACACTACCATGAACCTCATCATATACTCATGACTCAGTTACAGAAAATAGTTTTCACAATACCATCTAGTTTTAGAGTTAGAAAAAACCTTATATGTCATCGATGTTAACACTGTCATTTACTACTCAGAAGAAGAATATAGAGGATCAGAGAGATGAATGACTTTCTCAAAGCCACTGTTAGTAAGTATAAAGCCGAGATTAAAAATCAGTTCATCTGACTCCAGATCCCAAGTCCTTTCCACCATTCTAGACCTCTATTTTTTTAACCTCCTCAGTTTAGAAATAGGACAATTGAAATTGAAAGCAGATATTTTAACATCATCCAGCATAATTGTGAATGATCCAAGACTAGAACTTAGTTTCCCAAAGTCTTGGTTTGGTATTCTTTCCCTTCTATCAAAATGCCTATTGTTCACGAGTCAAAGCTCATACCTTTCATGTACTCTAGTCCTCTATTATTTAGGGGGCTTCTTTTCTTTTCTTTTAAGAACAGTTAGGCATTAGAAAAGGAAAATGGGTACCTAGATATAGATGCATTCTTACTAGAATGTTCCTAAGCACAAACAAAAGCACTTTCAGGTGCTAGGGTATGAATTCTGCACTATTACTATATTGCAGCGTTTCATGCTAAAAGTATACCCCCAGGAACCTCAACTCATAATTGTTCTTTTTAATGTCTCTGCAGGTTCTTAAAAATCCAGAGGAAGGTAAAGTGCTCACAAATAGCCAGAGCTCAGCACAGAAGCTCCAACTTCTTCCCACAGTTGGGCTATTAGCACTTCAATAGACACAAGAATACCTATGATATCTCAACTAATCCATTCCTTTGCCACTCCTTAGGAGTGAGTGATGATAGAGCAGAATTAGCATTAGCTTGGCCCTCTGAACAGCCAGGTCCCTTCAGCATACTTTTCATCTCTGTTCTATCTGCCTCTCTCTTTAAAGAAATAATCCTTTCCTTTTCTGTAGTCTGACAAAAGTAGGCAAATCTCACAGCAGGTCACATTTTTTTTTTGATTTGTAAACTTTATAGCACCTGATTGCTGGTCTTTGTAATAAAAGGAAAAAAAGCTAGAGTAACTCATAAGCCCCTAATTCAGAGGAGTCCAAATGATGATAACTACGTTGGGAGTGGCTGAATAAATAAACAAAGATTAGGAAGCCATGACTCTAAGGTCAAAATATTTGCCCCAGTACTGTTCAATAAAGACTACAATTGCTAAAGCACTCATTAAAGCTACTACTCTTAATTCTCAAGGGAGGCACTGGACTTTTCAGTATAAGGCCCATCTCTGGCAAATCTTGTTTCCAGTGTCAGAATGTTATGTTCACTGTAAATGAAGCCTTCACTTTTTCCCCTCCATAGAGTGTAAACTTTTTAAAGGCAGGATTTATTTTTCATCTTTTTCTTTATATCCTCAGCACCTATCACTGGATTTTGTACACCTAAGGCACTTGACAAATACTCATTCAATTGAGCTGAATAAGTAACAGTGAAAAGCAATGTAAGATTTGTTTGAAAGAATAGAGACCATAGGCTGGAGGTGAGGCTGGAGAAATTCAACAGTTTTACTGCCCCCTTTTAAACCATGTCTTCACAGTGTGGCTTCATTATTTAGTTTGAAATAAATTCCTAGAAAACTGGACAACCTAGACCCAAAAGTATAAAAACACATTTCAAAGGCAAATATAAATTATTTGGGTATCATCTCTTCCTTTAGCCATTCTCCTCTATTTGGGTAAAAATAGAAAGATGAGATCAGAAAGAATTTTTAGGTGGGAAGAAGGGATCTTAACCTGAGATATCATCAATTTAGTAAAAGGCTACCAATACAGATTAGCACCCTCTTGCCAATTTATAATCTTAGAGAATTGCTTGAAGAACCCAGAAATTAATGTCTTGGCCAGGTTTATGCAGCCAGTATACAGCAGAGGTGAGACCTGAACACAGGCATTCCTGACTGCAATCCTCTCTCCATTAAACTAGGATTCTTACAATTCCTTAAATGTCAAGGTTAACAGTGATGGTAATTATTTTAAGGGCAGTAGTTGATGCTAGGCTGCCTTTCACAAACTGTAAGAAGCATTCCCTGAATCTTGCTTTAACCTTATGTTAGGAAACAGAAATGTAAAACCAGTAAAGTAACAGAAAAGGAAGAAGTACGCATCACTAAACAGGAACCCATTTTGCTCTCTTTATTTTTGAAGAAAATGGTATCCAAACCTGACACCAGGTGTGTATGTGTCTACAATAGAAATTACATATGTGTGTGCATGCATATGTGTATATATATATATATACATTCTCAACATACATATGTATATACTATATTTACACATGCATACATACATATAATTTTCAAACTTTTGCACAAATATTCATTTTATTCTAACAATAACCTTTCATTTGAGAGGGAATGAAACAGAGATAGTCAGGCTAAATGATTTTCTATGGGTCAAGTGGTCGAACCTAGACTATGCAAAGTGTGGGCTTTTGCTCTTGTGATCATCAAAAGAGAGGTGTTGAAGGAGGGGTGTTGAGCTAATTTAATTGATGGAACCTACCTGTTGTCACCTTCTCTGGAAAAGAAGATGGAGAAAGTCTGAACATTCCCTCTTGCATCTGCAGGTGGACGCCAGCTGAGACGAACAAAGCGACTGGAAACCAAGACAGGGACCACATCTCGGGGAGCAGAGGGGAGGACACTGGAACTTGGGGTAGCTAAAGGGGAAGGAGAGGAATCAGTCAGAGGGGCTGATGGAACAGAGGCATTTGTAAGGGTGGGAACTATGGCAGTAGGTGGAGCTAATTCAGGGACAAAGACAGAAGACAGAAACATGAATAAAAGTGGATGGGAGGAAAAACAAAGAGAGTGCTAATAATAAAACAATGTCACAAACATATTTACAGTCTAATTAAGAAACTATCAGCCACTGAGAGCAACAACAATCTCAGGTCTCTTAGTTTTGGGCTCTTCATAAGGATCAGTAATACTAAACTTGTGTCCATACATCAAAATAGCTGAATATGGCTCAAAAGACAACTGTTGCAACAGCCCCGAATCACTGAATGTTTGGTTAGCTCATGAGTAATTAAATGTGAGCATCCCTCTTCCAGAGAGATTATATGATCATAGAGTCACTGATTAAGCTAGAAGTGACATCAAAAGCAATCTATCTATCTATCTGTCTGTCTATCTTGTCTGTCTGTCTATCTATCTATCTGTCTGTCTATCTATCTTACCAGCAATAATAATGAAGATAATAATTTGAACATGTTATCTTTATATAAATTATCTCATTTAATCCTTAGAACAATACTTTGAGGTAAGTGCTATTATTATCTTTTTCCCCCAGATGCAAAACTGAGACCCAGTGAGATTAAGAGATATCTACAGGTTTATAAAGCTTAAAAAAAAAAGTCTAAAGTGACATTTGAACTCAGGTCTTTCTCTGTCAAAATCTTAACTCTATTCATGCACCAACCACCAGATAACAGACAGTCCTAGCTTTATGTAAATTTGCGTTATGCAAATTTATCTCCTGGGCAGGCAGGAGCTAGGGCTGTGACTCCAGTTCTTTGCAGGGGGCTCTGAGGGTGGCTGGATCGTCACCACTGCACCAGGGTCCTCAGCTCCTGGTACTGAAGCTGCTGGGCAGCAGAGCCATGGAAGGAGCAGGGACTCAAAGAGGCTTATGATGGGAAGAGGAGGTCTGAGGAACAAAAAGGTCTACTTACATTAAGAAATATAAAAAACAGTGTTCTACTAATATTTTCTCATTTGTTTTCAGGACAGTCCCATGAGGTGGAGTTGATCTTATTATTGCTTTATTATTATTTTACAGAAGAGTAAACTGAAGTGAAAAGACAATAAATGACAGGCCCAAGGTCACTTAGTTTCCTAAAAATATTTTCTTATATACTACAGTAATTTAAATTGGAATTTGAGAAAGACTTGCTGTGTTCAATGCCTCCCAAATGGCAATCTCCTCCCCATTTTGTATAGCATCCTCCAACTTCACCCTCATTAAAACAATATATGTACATGTATCTGTAAAACCTTTATTTGCTTGGCAATATTCAAGGCACATTTCTGAAAAGCTATATCTTATACAAGATAAGAAATTTTGCAAAGATACTACAGGCTTAGACTAGATGATGAGGACTATCCCATAAGCAAGGCTATGACTAATTACAAAGTCAAATGATCTCCAAGAAAAGATCTATAAGCAAGTAATTTTCAACATCTTAGAACTACTACAGAATATATTCTTTATCAAAATGAAGTTATTGATAAATTATAAAGATATATTTCATCTTTAAGAAAAAGAAAGGAAAAAAAGATGTTCCCAAGATTATAGTGAGGATAAAGTAAAATAATGCTTGCAAACCACTTTGTAAACCTTAAAAATTTATATAAATTCAAGGTATAATTATACTATTTAATTTAAATGCAGGGATTATATTTTAAAGGTTTAGAAAGCTTGCTTATTTAATCATCACAAGTTTAAAAAATAATAGTTCTCATCCTTCCTACTACAGATCAGTAAGCTTGACTACATTCCTTGAACATTTGGAAGTGCTCATTTAGAAAAGAAAGTGGTGATCAGTAAGAGCCAGTATGGATTCATTAAGAAGAAATCATGCAAGACAAAGTATGCAGATTTTTTTAATGATGTCACTAGACTAGTAGGTCAGGTAAATGACAAAGATATGATGATGTACATAGATTTCATTGAAGCATCTAACAAATTCTCTCACAGTTTCCTTGTGAGAAAAATGGAAAGATATGGTATTTATTATAGATATTGTGGATCCAAAACATTCTTCAGGAAGGGGTTGTCTAAATATTTTTGAAGTCACTTCCAACTCTAAAATGATAATACTGTAAGCCTGGATAACCTTTTCTTCAAAATTATATTAGCCATAAATTTTCAGAGACCCTTTTTAAATCATCTAATTCATTCAATTGGTGTAACCTAGCTTCTAAGAATCACAGAAATGTAAACTTAGAAGAAACCTTAGGGATTATCTATTCCAACTCCCTTCCTCCATTGATAACAAAACTGACACTCTAATCTAAGAGGTTAAATGGTTCAAGTTCTCACATCTAATTAGTCATAGACTTGGGTCTAGAACCAGTATCTTGTAATGACCATTTCAGAGTTTTACCACTATGCCACATTACCTTTCTATTGAGCTATCTGTAATGAAAGTAGCACTTTCAACTATTTGTTTAAACCTACTTGCTTAAAGTGTAAATTTTAAGGACAGAAATAGAATAAAAATGAGATCACTAGGTTCATGCTGTTCATAATTAAATTATAAAACAAAGCTGGCTGTGAAGAGTCTTTTCTTTCCCACTGACTTTTAATGCAAAATTAGAGATAGATTCTTATGGGATAAAGTCTAATATGTTGAGCTAAAATGTAAAAAATTATTTTGGTGAGGTTTTTTTTTTCCAGCACCCTTTCCTCATTTTGGCAAACTTCCATTTATCTACAGTTGCCCCCCAGCTCCCTAATACTGCCCATATCTCCACCTAACCGCACCATATGCACTAAAGACCTTTCCTCACCCATGCCTTCCTTCTATGACACAGACAAATATAGTCATCAAAACATTCATATCTATTTTCCATTTGCCACCAATTATACTGACATCTGATCTTTGAGTCTCTTGGTTTTTCCTTGAACATTCTCTTTCCCATTCAGAGGCTACTGGAAGGTTCGAAATATGCCATTCCAATACTTGTATTTGTGAGTATTTCCAATACTTATATACCAAAATGCTAATATTGCTTTGTGGGAATCAATCCTGCTCTCTGGAGGTTACCAGTGTTCGAGCTGCCAAATCCAATCAATGGACTTTTCTTAATCTCCAGCTTACTTGACCTTTCAGGTAATAACATGTTCTTAGATACATTCCTCCCTTGGTCTCTATGACATTGTTTTTTCCTGATTCTTCCTGTATCTATACGACTGCTTCTTCTAAGTCTTCTTACTTCCATTAGTCAGGTCCTGGCTGCTTAACATGATTGATCACCCCAAAATTTTTCACTGAGCCCCACTATTTCTTTCTCAATATACTCTCCCTTGGCAAAGTCATTAGCTTCCATAATTTCATTTTTTTAAAAATTCAGTTTATGCAAATACATATACATACATACATACAGATACAGATACATATACATATACTCACACAGTCCTAATCTATATTCTGAACTTCAAAACCAAATGTCAGCTGCTTTTTGTACCTCTTTACCCATTAAAATCTCAAACTTATCATATCTAAAATATAAAGCATTGTATCCCCCTACATCTTAAAAAAAACAAAAACCCTCCATTTTTTCCTATTTCTATTCAAGGGTACCAACATAGTTTCAGTCACCCAGTTCTATAAACTTGGAATAAACTCTGAATGTTCCTTCTTCTGCCATCAACCCCCTCACCCTATATACCCCTCACATTGCATGTTAAAAAGAGGGTAGAATTTGAGTCAGAGGAGATAATTAATAATAACAATAATAATAATAATAATTAGGATTTATAAAGCACTTACATATGTTAATTCATTTTATTTTTGTAGCCACCCTGGGAGGTTGGTGCTATTATCATTCTTATTTTAAAGATGAGGAAACTGAGACAGACCAGGAATAAGTGACTTACCCAGGGTCACACAGCTATAAAGTATCTAAAACTAGATTTGAATTCAGGTCTTCCTGACTCCTGGTCCAGTGTCCTATGCACTATGCCATGTAGCTGCTTCTTGTTTTGAATTCTAGTTTAGCTACTTAAAACCTTGTACCCCAAACACATTCACAAGCACTTCCCATTTGATATTATTTAAAAGCAAATCTGGACTGTGGGTCTGTTGGTTTTTTCCTTAAGAATTGTTCTCATGCATGGAATGATGATGGTTCAGAACTGTATTGATCAGATATTCCCATCTGCCAAAACGTGGTCATTATAGCTCCCAAAATATTCTATAAGGATAAGAATAAGGACTCAGGGACTATAACTTCTGGGTCAAGCTACATCGGTTAGGGTCATTTGTTGCTAGCTGATTAAGACTATGAATTTACTAAACACAGAATCAACACTAGGGATAATCACTTCCTTTATCTTATATAACCTCCAGATTTTAGTATCAGCTTTGTATGTACTTATTAGTTATACCTTGTTATATTTAATTAATTCAATAACCACATCACATTCAGTCATACATACATACATACATACACACACATACATAGAGTACTTAAGTTATTCTCCATTCATTAAAAATGAAACAAACAAAAGCCACTCTTATCTGTCCCAAATATATCCAGTCCAGATTTCTCTCTCTCCTTTTCCTCTCTATCTCTTTCTGAAGCATCCTTGTGAAATAGCCATATTGAGAATCTATGAAAAATTAATTTGTGCTCAATTGTTAGTGCATTAATTTATTGCTCATCTGAAAAGTCCTACGCCTTCACACCAATCACTAATGGTGGTAATTTCAGCACACCTTTGGAAGAAACTATTTTACACTGAGGCATCTTTTAGCAGTACTTCAATTTACTCAATGACAAGGAAGGCCAGTACTGAAGCTGGGTGTTATAATCTACCATCTCTTTTTGGCTGGCTATTTATAATACTGACTAGAAGCAGGCTAAGATATCACACTTCATCCATAAATGTCCCCATGTACCATATGGTAAAATCCAACCTTATTTTTTT